TGGGTTGAGTGGCCCTCAGCTGGGGCTGGGGAGTCCAGTGGGGCCCAGGTTAATGTGTGGGTGGTGTGGGGTCTGCTGGGGACGGGGCTCTGAGCTTCTAGGATCCCCGTGCTCACTCTCCAGAGCCACAGAAGCCTACACCTGGCCAAGAGGATGGAGGGATGGAAAGGTAGAGGGATGGAGGAACAGAGGGACAGAAGGACGGGTCTCTCTGGGGTTGCACAGTGGGCAGACAACTCCCAGGGTTCCTTGTTGCGACTGGGGCCACAGGTTGTGAATCTGGAGAGGCCGCCACCTGTCAGTGTGTGGATGATGGAGAGGCTGCATGGGCACAGGGTACAGACCCTGGGATGGGCACTTTGGGGCCATTGCACAGGCAACCAGGGGCTCACATGGTTGTGGACACTCATGACTCAGAGCAGGGGCCAAGAAACAGGCCACCCCAGCCCTGTGAGATCACATTTCCTGGTTAGTTAAGACACAATGCCAACTCCTGCCCAACAGAGCCGGAACCCAGCCTAGAGCACGAGGCAGTCATTGTGGGCACAGGACAGGGCAGGGCCACAGGCTCCGTTCTGCACCTACACACACACCAGATCCTGGACATTCCTGGAATCTGCCTGCTTACTTCTGGGTTCCCTGGTGCTTAGGTCTGGGAGGCCCCAGGTACAGCATGGGAAGATGGGGAGGATTACAAGGAAGGGTTAGAGGAAGACTCAGCCTGTCTGGCCTGGCCTACCCTGCTCCTTGAGGAGCTCCCAGCACTCTTCCCTGCTCCTGAGGAGCAGACGAGGCACAGCTGGGCTGCTTCAGGCCCGGATCAGGGTGACCTCTAGGCCTCTCCCCTCTGCTGTGCAAGCCTAACCTCGGCTGTGCTCATGTGGTGTTGGGCTTCAAGCTCCTTGGGGTGAGATCCTGTGAACTTGCCCTAAGCCTGCAGCTACACCCTGGAGGGGCTGAGGAAGCAGAGTTCACAACCTAGAGGCCAGACAGAGGCCCCCACCTCCTGCCTGGGGCTGTCACCTCACCAAGTCTCAGTGCCTCAGTCTAGTTAAGGCCACAGAGGAAAATCTATGGATGGACAGGCATGACTCACACTCAAGGAAAAAAGGTGGTAGCAGGAATGGGATCAGGGGACTCTTTAGATGGGCTCAGGGGAATCCCTGACCTGGGACGGGAGATAGGGTCTGTGAATAGTGGAATGGGGTCTCTGGTAGAGAGGAACGGAGGACAGAACACTTGGCTGGGGGACAGTGTCCTTGGGTTGGGGCAGGGTCCTTGGATGAGGGACAGTATCCATGAATAGGAAACAGGGCCCTGTATGGGGGATAGAGCCCTCCTTGGTGATGAGGTAGGACTGGAGGACCAGAGGACACAGAACCTGCTAAGTATCCTGAGAGGGTGCTGTCACCCAGCCCTGGGCCCTGGGGCTTCCCTCAGGGATAACTGAGGTTCACAGTGGGCGCCCAGTGTGGGGCTGGTCCCTTGACCCACTGAGTGGGCAGTGAGGAATCCAGCTGGCATGGGACAGCCCAGCTCAGGGGACAGGAGTGACCCCGCTGCCCACCAGCCCTGAGCCTGGACCCTGCTTTCTTGCCTGTAGGCTGTGGGATTTTCTCAACTGTAACATGGAGTGCTCCGTCCCCATGAACGTCACAGCCTGTTTGAATCAACATCCAGGGGCTCCCAGGTGTCTGAGCTCCCTCCCTCTCAGGATCTCACCCCAAGGAGGGTGAAACCCAACACCACGGGATCACAGCTGAGAGGCCCAGAGGTCACCCTGATCTGGGCCTGCGAGGCAGCCCAGCCGTGCCACATTGAGTCTTCCACGGCCCCGGAGCAGAGGCTGGGGACCCTCTCCTCCTGACCACATGTCTGGCTGTGACCCTGGCACCTCTGAGAGAGAGGACCCTCGGCCTGTGAGACATCCTGAGTGGTTCCTACTGTGCTTGTCCTCTCTGTGGTCCCTGGAGGCCAGGCTGGGGTTTGGCTTTTACCTCCTGCTGGGTGGCAGCCACATGGGGATTTCCCTTGCTCTCACCCACCCAAGTGTCAGAGGACCTAGGCCAGCCAGAGGTGGAGGGTTCTGTGTCCTGGGCTGTGGTGGCACACCCAGCCCTAACTGCAGCCTGTGGGCATCTCTGTGTCTGGTTGTAACCAAAGCTGAGGTGCATTCACATTCCAGTCTGTCTTTACTGAGGGATGGATGAGGGTTAAAGGCTGACAGGAGAAAGCCAGGCTGCATCCCATCTTGGCGGGTTCCTAAGACTAAAAACAGAGGTTTGAGTTAGTGCGGCCACTTGGAGGCGCTGTTGACCAGCTTACTGCTGTAGCTATACTAGGAGTTCATAAAACCACCTAGTGGCAGCCCTGAACGAAGCTCTGAGCTCTTTCCACTTCACCTGCCCAAGAAGAGACAAGTATCCTGCCTCCACTGTGAAGGAAGATGCAGGGTTGAGGGGTAATTTAAACTTGCACAGCTGCTGGGGAAGGGTCTGCAGCTCCCATGATGGCCATTCTGCCTCTGGGTATTTCACTAGTGCTGCCAGGAAGCCACTGACACCAGGTATCAGGGCCACTTCCTGCTGACTTAGCTAATTTTTGTGAGTAGTAGGCCAATTGAGACACCAAGGGGCTGCTATCCAGTAAGTTGGAATGAGGTTCTGTGGTCTCTGAACAGCACCTGGTCAACAGTTACCCACTGAAGACATCGGGGAAATCATTACAATAAAATGGAAACTTGTAAAAGTAGGACACCCAGGTGCAGTGATCTCAGTTTTGCAAAATCTATCTTTATCTACCTGTCCCGTTTCTAGGAATGCACGAAAATCCACTGGGGTTGAGCAGGTGTGGCTGGGCCTCGGACTGGTGGTCCCTGCCAAGCTGGGATCCTGGAGCTCTGCCAAGGCCCAGTCATCTCAGCTAATTTAGCCACGTGGCTGGCACCCCTGCCCAAGTTCCAGCACCACCAGATTCTGCTGAGCCACGGCTGCGCCAACAGATGGCCTCCTGTAGAATCCCCACCCCACAGTGGCAGGAAGAACCCTCTACCAGGCTCTGGGCTTATCTCTCCTGGGTGAATGGCTGCTGCCACTACCCAGGGATCTGTGTGGGCACCACACTGAGCAGCTCTGCCAGGCTGTCTCTGCAGAAAGGAGGAAAGGCTCAGCTGCAGTGGCTGATCCCCGGAAAGAAAGGTGTGAGCTAGGTCTCAGGTGCCTGGAAGTGGCCGCGATGGAGGCTCAGAACATTTCCAGCATGCCTTGCCACCCACAGACACTGTTGCCTTTGCCCCAGAGGCAGAAGCAACAGGCTCTCCCTGAGGTTTGAGGAGGTCCACTGCATCCTGGGGACAAGGATTGAATAGGTGGACAGCAGGTGGAGATTCACACCAATGTTCACACTGCAGTGAGAGTCCAGAGGCCATGAGCAGAGGCCTTTACCCTGCTCTGGCCAAAGGGACAAACCAGCTATTTCCAGAAGCTTCTCTGAGCACCTATTCAGTTAGTGGCAGGGCAGTGGCTGGTTCAACACCACTTTCTAGGACAAGCAGGGCTGCCTCCATTTGCCTGTGTACCCCTTCAGGATGCTGTCCCAGGTCAGGCTTCCTATTAGGCACTGGCCTCCCTGATTGCCAGCCCAGTCAGTGTCTCCCAGGATCAAAGCCAACTGCCTAGGTGAGCTCTGTGGGCACAGCTCCCTGAGGGCCCCATCTCTCCCTGGCCAGGTGACCTCCACTTCCATATCTGAACCCCATGAAACAGACCTTTGAGTTCCTATGGGAGCAGTGGAGACAATAAAACACTCTCATCTGTGGCCTCTGACTTCTGACCACTGGGGGCCTCATCTCTTACTTCTGTCCTACTGCAAGCATATGGGCTGCACAAAAGTGTGCGTGCACAATTTGGACACAATTGCTCTGTGACCCTGTGTACCTGTGTAAGTGTGGGTGTACAGATATGTGCAGGTATGTGTTACACGTGTACATGTATATATATGCATGCACAACCAGTCTGTGCTCAGGTGCCTCCTGAATGTGTGCACATGCATAACTGTGGACATGTGTGGTTTATACGTGACCCCAAGCACTCCACATGTATACAAGCATGTGACATGCACACATGTACACAAGCACACTTTATGTGAACTTAATGTACATGTGTGCGAACACATATGTATCCATGTATGGCGGCAAGTTGGTGTGTCTGACTCAGTATGTACAAGTGCATGGGTAGCACACATGCCTGTTAGGATGCACCTATGTGTATGTGCACACCACATGAGTGTGCACTCATAGATGTGTTAGTGTCAGGGTCTGTGTATGTATATGAATACACATGTGCACGTGCTGAGGTGGGTGCTGGCAGAGAATCTTTTGGGAGTGTGCTGGGTGTGCTCTCAGGGTGAGGCTGGGGTGCAAACACTGAGCTGAGCCTCTCAGATGGACAGGAACAGCCCTGGTCACCTCCTCCTGCATCCTCTGCTCCTGCTGAATCCTCTGAGTGGCCAGCTGTGAGGATACTCCCCAAAGGCCTAGGCTCCTGGGTCCTCCCTGGGGCTGGGACCCTGGCTGCAATCAGGCCATGCCTGTGCCACTGCCAGGCAAGGAGCCCACTTTGGAGCTGCACTGGGGAGGTGTGGTCAGCTTGACAGAACAGAGACACCCAGAGCCCTCCTGAAGCACCCTGGAGTTTGGGCACAGAAACCCCCCCTCAAGCACAGAGCAGCACCTGAAGCTACCCTGCCCCTGTATGTCCAACTTGAGCTTCTGGTGAGAACTAGATGCTGGGGGTGCTGATGAGGGGCACCTGCATTCCCAGCTGCCACCCAAGCTCTGGGACATGGGCAAGGGTGGGTCAGCGAACTGCTGGGAGTCCTAGCCTTTCCCAGGGACCTCACCCTGACAGACTACCCTCAGTGCCTGTCCACCTGCACCTGGCCCTTGGCCGTGTCTGGGTAGGGTGGTGCCATTCACCTGCCATCAGCAACCACCGTGGCTGTGACAGGTAAGCCACCTTCCTGCCCCTTCTCTGTCTCCCATGTCCCGCAAACTTGCACCGAGTGTCCTTTAAAAGCTGCACCACCCTGCAGCCAGGGCTGGCTCCTGGTGGCTCTCAGTCTTGTGTGGTCGGAGAGCTGCTGGGGGTATCTGCCATGATAGAACAATCTGCCCCCCATTCCCCCCAGCTCAGCCAACCCTGTGAGAAGGAAGCAGAGAGCTGGGAGCCTGGCAAGGTCTTGGGAGGGACAGGTGGCCGACTGTCCCCAGCACCCGCCCGTCTTTGGGTCCAGATCAAGGTACCTTCTCCAGGGCCGCCATGCCACACTTGGTCTTCCTCCTGGTAGTGTATGGGATGCAGCACAACCAGCTGGTCTGTATCCTGCAGGCCAGGGCCACAGAGGCACCTCAGTAACAGTGGCCCCACCCTGAGCACTGCCGCAGTGCCTGCCACCAAGTACAAGGGCAGCTGGCTTGGGGACAGATTCCTGTAGGGCCCCTGTTCACCTATTCTAGAGGGCTCTTCAGACAAGATTCTCAAAAGCCCAGCTACACCCACCCCAGGCCCCAAACCAGGGTGCAGGATAGGAGTTCTCAAACGTGGGGGTAGTGGCCCCCAGTTCCCCACTCCCCATATGGGTCACTTTGCCATGGCCACTACTGCACAGATGCCCAGTCTCACTGCCCCCAGGGTGAGGGCAGAGGAAAACAGGTGTGGGTGGTGGCAGGGGGAGGGGAGAGAGCCAGCCCTAGTGCCTGGCCAGGCCAGGCCTGTGTGGCAGCACTGCCATGTGGCATCCAGTGGCCAGTAGAGAGTCCTGGGGGGAGAAGCCTGAGGCCCAGCCTCTAGACTTGATTGCCTAGCCCTTGGGGCAGAAAACAAAGTTACCAAGACGAGTGCCCTATGGCTAAATACATTACCAAGAAATGAGAAAAAACGCCTCTCCCACACATGGGAAAGGCCTGGGAGACCCCAGAGTTGGGAGAGCGGCCAGAGGCCAGGCCAGGTGGAGGAGGCAACACAACAGGGAGCTTCTGAGTGAGGGCCCCTGGAGCCCTCCCGCAGTTCCAGAGCTGAAGAGTAAGGAACTGCAAGGACCCAGACCAGGGCCACAGCGGGCTGCCCCACCCAAGGCTCCACCCGGAGGAGTCCTGTCTCCACAAGGGCTGGCATCACTAAGTGGCCAGGTGTCAACGGAGAAGTTTCTCCTGTACAACATCTGCTAGTAGATAAACCAGAATAGACTATGCCGTTAATTCTGATGGGTGAGATTGGGATAATTATCATTTTCATTTTGTATTTCTCTGTGTTGTCTGGAAAAAAGCAAAATAGATTCATAGGACCTGCCAGAGACAGGCATTGTGCTGGCTCTTAACATCCTTGTGGCTGAGTCTGGGGGTCTTGGGAAGTCTCGGCTTTGAGGGTCCATATGGTGTCCACTGGCAGGGCTGGGTCAACAGGACCAGTATGCCCTTCCTGCCAGCTGCCTGGGCCTGTGCTGAGCATGCCTCCAGTCCCTGGGACCAGGAGCAAGGCCTCTGCAGCTCATCCCAAAACTGGAGGTACCAGAACCACCCTCTTTACCTTCTGCTTCCTCCTCCCTCACTTCTGGCTGTGTTGCTGATGCAGCTGGGAACAAGGTGAGCTCCGCAGAATCTGTCCCAAACCCTTGAATGTTCATGGCCTGGCTGCCTGCCCCCCAGCTCCTAGCTCCTCAGTATGTACCAAGTCTCCTCATGCACCCAGGCAGAGGAGGACATGCCCAGCATGCTGAAAGTACACAGCCCTGCGCTGAGGGTCAACCCCACTGCACCCCAGTGCAAACCCACAGCATCACTTACTCATCTTCTGACAGATCTCCTGTGTCCATCCGGGCCTGCATCTCCTCTCTCACGGCACAGGGGATGACCTGTGGGAGTGACAGGTTCAGGGGTGGATGGGCAACCTGAGAGACCTGTACAGTGGGCTTGGAAGGCAGAGACCAACTTGGCCCTGAGCACCCTCCCACCAGATAGGCTCTGTTGGCCAGAAAACCCCAGCTGAGAACTCTGGCCCCACGGTGCACCCTAAGTGGGGTCCCATGGCCCCTGGACTGCAGAACTGGGAGATCTGGCCTTTTGGTCCAACTCTGCTGCTGGGGACCTTCCTGAAGTCCTTAGAACCTGGGGGCCCTCAGTAGCCCTGTGAGGAGTTTACAGCCAGTTCTTTTCTGCCTATGTTGTGGCCTGAGGGCAAAGAGGATAAAGGTACAATATGGAAGGAAGGAGCTTAAACTTGCCAACAGAGAACTTCAAGGAACTGGCAAAAAAGATGACTGCTCACTATGGAACAGAATCAGAGGCAGAGATCAGGTAACTGTTGGAAAGGCCCAGATACACCATAAGGGGCCAAGATTCTGTTCTGAGAGCCCTACAAACAGCCCTGGGGTGGTAGCACCCTGGTGTGCCCCATTCCACACAGGAGAGGACAGAAGCATGGGAGGTCGTGGGTTTTTTTTAAGCGGTTAGAAGCAAAGCCCTACATTTTGCAAGGCCAGATCTGCTAGCTCCTGAGCCATGCCATTCCACCACCCCAGCATAAATCCACAAGAGGTCCATGAACAGCTCGGGGGCTCGGCCCACACCAGTGTGGGCATGCATGGGTGTGAGGAAGAAGGGAAAGTGACTCCAGTGTCCCCTGACAAGCCCAGTCCTCAGCACCAGGGGCATCCTGAGCCGCGGGCCCTGGATCTCTGCCGCACCCTCCAGCACAGCTGTGATAGGGCACACTCCCAGAAGGCCTTTCTGGCCCAGCCTAGACAGTGCACTTTCTGCATGGGGAATTTGTCCTTCTCATCTGAGGACTGTTGTCTGTACCTCCTCAGTGTGATCTCCCAGATCAATCTCCACAAATGTAGGTGGTTTCTGTGGGTAGGAATTGAGGAAGGATGGTGAGGTTGGAGGAAACAGACTCCTTGGGACTGGGGGAAGCCGGGGTTGGGTGGTTAGCACCAGGCCCACCAGATGCTTGGCTGAGCTGGGGGAGACAGCTCCTGCACAAACAGGTGGAGGGACAACGGCAGGTGGACTCTGAGCTCTCCATGGGGTCAACTCTGGCGGGAGAGTGTGAGAAGGGATGTAGCCTTCTCACCCCTCTATGCCCACTTCTTATCAAGTCCCTGGGGCCCCAGAGCCACCTTTGTCTTCTAAACACCATTGCTTCCAGGTGACAGGGCAATGCCAGGACATGGGGAGCCCCTCCCAGGCCTGCTCTCCGGGGCATCACCAGATTCTGCCTGTGCACCTACTTAGTGCCCACTGTGCCCAGGAGGTGAGGACACATGTTAGGTAGTGTGGCCCACATGGCTCTGTGTGCAGCTGCCCATGGCCTCCATCCAGGCACCATGGCTGGCTCACAGCCACACCGAGTGTCACCTGCTGCAAAGTCCTGATGACTTGTGTCCATCTGTCTCCAGTCCCCCTCATGGTCTGGGAGGGAGAGCAGACACCACTTCCTGGCAGTATATGTGCTGCCGAAGTGAGCACCATCACTTCCTCTCAGAAAGTGCCCCATGAGAATGCTCAAGATGGCTCCAGGGCTAGAGGCATGGGCAATGGAGGCTCAATTCATCTCAGAATCCCATGCTGTAGGGACGGCACAGACGGCAGCTGGAGAGGAGGCCCGGAATCAGGCTGGGAAAGAGCTTGGCCTCCAGACTCTCAGGGAGAGCACAGTGTGGCCCAGCCAAGACGACCTGTGGACCACAAGCCCACAGTGCCTGGAGGCCTAGTGAGACTCTCACATGACACATCTGACCTCCGCTGCTGAAGTATAAAGCTCTTGCCTCTTTTTCGAGATGGCTGACCAGCTTTATCGGCTCCAATTCCTGTTCCTGTGAGCCCAAGAGAGATGCCAAGTTAAGTCCCAAGGGAGATGACGATGTTCATTCCAATTGAGCAAGCAGACACAGGCAGCTGACCTCGGCCTCCCTGGAACACCAGCCTGTGCCTTCCTGCTCCCCCTCGGTGCTGGTCTCTGCACCACTCCACTCAGTCTCTGGCTCTGCTTTCCCACTGTCAGGATCCGGGGTTCCCTGGGCATCCTGATTCTTCTCTTTCCCATCTTCCTCTAGGTCTGCCTGACTGTGGAAGGGAAGGGAGGGTCTGGGATCAGTGTCATAAGGAGACAGCTTTAGATGTCTCTTCTTCTTGGACTCCTCCTCCATACTGGGCATTGGGCCCTGAAAGTGGATAGCCTCGAGGCCATTCTGTGGCAGAGGGCCTGGGTGCAACAACGCTCCTGGCCCCTTGAGCACCTGACTTGGCGGGAGACACCATGACTGCTCATGGTGTGGGGCACAGACCTGCTTACAGCCCACAGAGCTCATTTACAGAGCAGCAGCTAAACTTACCCTCATGTGAACCAAGACGCAGCACAAGGATGTGCCAACCCCCCCCCAGCAGATGCAGCACTCTCTGCACAGAGACCACACACATGGGTACCAGGGCAAAATGCAAGGTAGAAATAAAGGAGCCCCATGGGGCTTTCCCACTATTACTGACTTGGGACTTGGGTGGTTGTGGCTCTTGACTTCGTGCACATGGGGCACATGTCCACTGTGCCACCACAAGGGCAGTGGTCTCAGCTCAACCCTGCCCCATACCTGACCACCCCTCTTCTGACCAGCCAGCTGCCCCTTCTCTGGCTTCATGGTGGCCGGTACCCTTCCTGCCTCTGATCCTGGAGGCCTCTTGTAACAGCTGGACCCCACTTTGCAGCAATTGTGCCTGTGTTGTTGGTATCCGAGAGAAGGTCTAGGGCAGTTCAGTGAGTTCAGCCCCTTTGCAGCAGGAGGTGGGGTGTGCAGAGGGTGGGTCAGCCAGGTAGTCCAATGCCACCCACTGAGTCCTTGCCCTCCTTACTGGTCTTCGGTGGGTCCTATTCACGGTGCTACACATGTCGCCTCATAGCGAGCCTCTGTAGGCCCAGTGGATCTCATATGGGACAGTGCCTATTCCCCAGGGGAGGAGGGGAATGGTCCTGAGATGCTGTTCTGACACCCTCTGGCCAAGCCAGCTGAGGAGCTGGGCAGGGAGGCCATCATTTCCTGGTCGTGATTCTGGAGCCTGGGGACAACCTGGGTTCCCTGGGGGTGTCTTCTCCCAAGCGCTGGGCCGGATGGGGGCTTCAGTTCTGCAGTCTGGCTCCATACCCCACTGAGGCAGACAAGGCTGCTCACCCACTGGCGTTGTTTGTGTCCCTCCTTGGGTCATGGTCCTGATCTTCAGACTCTGAGAATTAAGGACAGAGCTGGTCAGTGCCACTGGATGCCCATATGTGCCCCTCCTGATTCCCATGGCACACCACTGGGTGGCTGCCTCAAAGCAGCTAAGGGCCTCCTGACCCTGCAAATAACAGCTAAAGGGTTTCCTGCCTCAGGCACTGCAGCCCCAGGCCTCTATCCCCAAAGCTGCCATCACCACCCTGGACATTTCATCACCTTCCAGGCCTGGCCTGGAGCCTCAGGTTGGCCGGTGTCCACCTGCACAAGGCTGCTCCTGCCCCATGCCCCGCATTCGTGCCCTGTGTCCCAGCTGAGTCCCAGGCCTGTGTCTTCACCCTGTCCCACACCCGTGGTCCTCACTCTGCATTCTCTCCACGGGACTCATGACAGGCGCCCACTGCTGCAGTGAACGTCTGAGGCCCCGGGTCTTGAATCTTGTCCCAGCACAGCTGCCTGAGACGGAGTGGGGACAGAAAGGGCACTGTGCCCTGACTTCCTCTCTGCGGAGGACAGAGGGAGGTACAGGGCTCAGCAGTACTCCTAGCTCCTGGCTGTCTTTAGTTCTTGTCATCAGGGTCAAGAGCATGTGGACCTGGTTGCGGAAGGGAGCCTTATGGGGCAGGCGTGGCAGAAAGAGCCTCCTCCAGCCTCTAGTCCACTGCTGGGTAGGGATTTGCCTCCCAGGGACCCTGGGACAGGGGACACAGGCTTCGTGGGTTTTGATGGGAGTCTGGGGGAGTAGCTGGCCCTGAACTGCTTCACACAGACCTGGCCTGGGGACCCCAGGACGGAGGAGCTGCTGTACCCTCTGTCCCAGATGCTCTGCCCACCTGCAAACGCCACCCCTGGTGGGGACGCTGGGTGCTCTGCCCATGGGAGCTCATGGGCAGCAGCCCTGGCTTAGATTGTGCCACTGTCACTTCTCAGCCCACTAATCCCAGCTTCCTGAGGTGGCCCCTGGCTCCCGGCCTGTGGTGGGTAGTGAAGGTGGAGAGGTGTGTGGTCTTCAAAGATTTACTTCCAGGCTGTGGTGACCCTGGAGAGCTTTCAGGGTCACAGTCCTCCCAGCTCTCATGACTCAGAACCCATCATTGTTGACAGGGATCTTAACAGTTATTTCTGGGGCCCCTAGCCTGTGTGTCCCTATACCCTGCGTCTTAGGGCACATGGAGCACCTGGGCAGTCTCCCACCCTGCTCCTTCCTGCCTAGCACATCTGGTAAGGAGACATGGCCCTCCCTCCTCACCCCATGGTCATTTTGGGTCTGCAGATGCCCTCCTGGGGAGCTGCACCCTCGCCCCGGCCCCCCAGTCACCCTCCCCACCAGCAGCCGCCTGCCCCTCCTACCGGGTTCCCTGCATGGATTCCTGGGGCGGCTTGGGGGGTCCCCCTTCTGTATCAGGCCACCTACGCTCCTGCTTCTCTGCAGTGCAGGCCCCTCACTGGCTGCCTTGCCAAGCCCAGGGGCTGCCCCCGAGGGCAGGGCCCCAGGCCCAGGCCGGTGCCTTCTGTGTGCAGCAGGGTCCTTCTCCATTCTAATCGAAGAGGAGGCCACTTGCACTGCCTCAGGCTGAGGCCATGGCCGGTAACCTGGCTTGTGGCCTCTTCTCCAAGGAAGCAGCCCAGTGTTGCCAGGGACCTGCTGTGACATCACTGCAGTCAGAGGTCAAAGGTTAGCTGGCCATCACAGCCTTCCCTGCAGGCCCAGGTTGGTGGCTTGGCTGTTCCTTTCCCTTCTAGCCCCTTTAGCTTCCTCCGTTAGGAAAGGGTGGCTCAGGCTCAGTTCCTGCTTGTCTCTTCCTGGAGAATTCAGGTTTCTCTCCTTTCCTTCCAGAATCAGGAAAATGAGCCAAGGATCCAAGATGGTGAGTGTGGGTCCTAACCGGCACAGTAGAGGCTTTTTGGGACATGACTGATGCCCATGTGAGAACTAGTGTGCAGGACCACAGCTGGGAGGCCCAGTCCTGGAGGCTGGAGTTGAGGTCAAGGTGTGGTGGGGCAGGCTCTGCCGAAGCCCCTCCTGATCATGCATGTGGATCCTGCTTTTTCCATATGCCTAGGGCTGTCCCTGTGGTTGGGTCCCGATCACTTCCTCAAAGGACCCAGTCTCGATGACATAAGGCTGCCCTGATGACCCATTTTACCTTCGTTTCCTACTCAAAGTCCTTGTTTCCAAATACCATCAAGCTTTAAGGTCCAAGTGCTGGGACTTCAGCATCTGATGTTTGGGGCCACAACTCAGCCCTTACCTAGCCTAAGAGAGGGTTTCTGGTGCCCTGTCCAGCACAGTCATATAAAACCACGGCCTGAGAATTCAATGGACCTAGGCTAAGGTAACAGGCGTAAGCAGGTGGAGTCAGTGTAGGTTGTTGTGATACAGGAAAGAGATCTTCAGGCTGAACCCAGGAAGGATTCCCAGCAAAGAGCACCACAATGAAGAGATGATATGGGGAGCGAGGTCTGTGTGCAGATGTCCTCCTGCTCTGGTCCTCCTCCTGGCACCTGGGCTCAGCCCCTCCTCCAGGGAGACAGGTCAGAGCAGCTTCCAGTACCAATGCCTGGGGCTTGAATGATACTTCTGCCCGTGTGGTGAATTTTGGGGGCTTGTCCTGACACCTCAGGGGACCTGTAGGTGCATTCTTCCTGATAGCCAGTGTACCCTACCCCATGTGGCACCCCCTAGCATCTGGCTGTCTCCTTAGGGCAGCTGGATACAGCTCTTATTCCAGTCTGCACTCTCGGATGGTGCCCAGAAGGAAGCTCGGAGGAACGTGGAGGCCACCTCCCCTCTCCAGCGTCCACTGGTCATCTGGAACGAGAAGAGTGACCAGACTGGGGCTCCACAGAAGACAAATGTAAGTCCCCCTCCCTGGAGACTTGAGCGTCAGGCCTATGTCCTCCAGGGCTTTGCCCCTTCCCATCTGCCCCCGGGGCCAGCCTTCCTGCCTGCTGACCTGCCACGCTGACTGACTGGCACACTGGAGTGTGAGTGAGTTGCCTGGCCCTGTCCAACCCTGCCATGGACACTCACCTCCAGCTAACCAGGCTGGCTGGGGAATGGGGTGCTCCCCAGCCAGGGTTTACCCAGCAGACAAGAGGCCTGAGAAGCAGGGTGCATCTTCCCTGCCCCTCCACGCCCTCCTCTGGACAGAGGAGGCTGACCAGGAGCCTCTGTCCTTGTGCCTGAGCTCTGGATGCAGGGTCCCCCCAATGAAATGTCTTAACTCCTCATGTTAGGTCTGGGAACTTAGCTCAATGGCTCTGTGTCTGCCTTGCAAGCACAAGGTCCTGAGTTCAATCCCTGGTACCAGGGAAGAGAAAAACCCTGAACCCCTACCTAATGTTCTTCTGAGAGAGCTGCTTCACTGCAGAATTAAAAAGAGCTACAAAATGAAAGCCAAATGTAGACAAAAGGAATAAGGAAATGAGGACCCCCACTGGATGCCTGGACCGGCTATGGTCCCCACCCAGGGTCCCTTACCCTCTGTCCCCAGGACAGGCAGCAGCAGCCTGCACCCTTGGGTACCCTGTTGTGCTCATTGCCATGACTTTGAGCTTGGTGGTGCACACTGTCTTCCCATTCTTACTGAGCCAACTACAGTGCCAGCCACGCCTGATGCCACAGCTTTCCTAGGGCATTGGGGGCCTGGGTCCCACCCAGAGCCCCACAGATGGCTGCATCTGCCAGAGCCAGGTCACCTATTGGAGAGTAGATAGCACCTATCCTTGGAGAGATACTACCTGTGCCCACAGATGGACCTACCTGTTGTTAGAACAATGTCACCCACCACCACAGCCCCTGCACCCTACATGGTTACCAGAGAGCCCCTTGGGAAAAAGAAACCATCCCAGAAAGAATAAAACATCTGTTTTAATTGGCAGTAAAATACATTGCAAATCATTAGTATTTTATAAACAGGAACATTAAGTTACAAATCCAAGTTAAAAACTGCAGTTCAGGGCAGCCTCACAGCTGTGTGTCCAGAGTTTATTTTTCACACTTTCCTCCATGACTTCTGTGACCACACACACAGTTACTGTCTGCTCCAGGGTTAAGAGTGAGCTATAGCTGTTCTGGCAAGAATGGAGAGAAGCTGTGTGAGGACATGCAGCGGTACCCAAGGTGGGCCTCTCCAGGTCCTCCTGCAGTACCATGGTGACATGGCCGGGGAGGGGCTCCACAGACGTGGAGTGTGGGGTCTGGCTGGAATGGCCTGTCTTGCCCACTTGCTGGGCTCAAGGTCCACACTGCTCAAGTCTTCTGCATGGGCAAAACATAGCCACCACCTCACAGGGTCCCCCGAGAGGACCACAGCTGGTATTTGTGAATGTGCCCTCTTCTATGTGTGTAGGTTTTGATGTTCTGAGTCACCTTATTTCAAAGAGCAATTAAAAATGGTCCTTTAACAAAAGTTAAGAAAAACAGTTTGAAAAATGCACATTTCTATTTTTAAAATCTTCTCCAGCTGTGGCAAGCAGGTAGATTCTAGCTTTCAACCCTGTCCAACGGCAAAACAATGTGTTCTGGGCCTGGGGGCTGAGTGGTCACCCAGAGGGGACTGGACCCACACCACTTTCTCTCCCTTGGCACTCTGAACCCCACAGGGTCCCTTGGGTTGGGAGCTCTGTGCTGTTCTGCATGTCCCAGCCACAAAGTGGATGCTCAGGCCAGGAATAAAACTAACAGGAGCTGGGCAGGGAGGTCAGCCACTGGCTGCAGAGACAGCAGCTTTGTGAGGAAAGAATAATGCTGTTAAGGCCCCAGAGGCGATAAAGAAATTCGAGACTGGGGCCACACGGGTGCAGAGACCAGCACGGCACAGTCAGAGATGGCAGCACAGCTCTGCATGAGGCAGGGGCTGTGCAGGCTGGACTGGCTGTGGCTCTGTGCAGGAATCAGTGTGGCTGTAGTAAAGTCCACACTTCCTGATCACTCAGTTGATCCCTGGATCCCATGAAACCAAAGTAAGCAATAACGCGAACAAGCCCATGTCCCAGAAAGGCCAGGACCACCTGCCTCTGGTGGACAGTAAGGTGCATGGCAGCTGCCTCTTGGTTCTGGAGGGGACATAAATGTCCACGATGTGCCACCAGCCCGATGGTCCCATTGGGACTGGAGACCAAGAGCCTCCTGTGTGCATCCTGCCCGCTCTGCTCTTCTGGGCTTAGAGAGGTCGGTACGTCCTGGTATGCCATGCTGGTGCCACCTGGAAGCACTGCGAGCCTCACATGGAATGGGTGGAGACCTCCGACTGCTGCCTTATGTAGTTCTGGAAGCTCTTGTCTCCGATAGGATGCTCCCTGCAGGGGTTGGGGAGAGCATGAGGCACCACCCCTCGATGCCTGGTGTCCCAGTGCTCTGTAACAGTTTTTACCTATTTATACACAGGATACATGTCCATTGCAATCAGCAAAGGGAAGGGCAGAGTTCAAACCCCTCCGACGTGTGGCGTGCGTGGTGGCATGTGTGTATATATCATGTAAGTGGACATGTGCAGATTGTGGGCAAAGTGCGCACACATGCAAAATGTACACGTAAGATGTGTGTGCACAGATGCAGGCTGTACGTGGAATGCCTGTGCTGCATATGTGCACAGACTGCATTGCAAAGTGTATGTGTACATGTGGACTGCGTGTTGGCTGTGCCCCTGGACAGACTGCATGTGTGCTCTGTGCGGGTGTGCAATGCAGGCAGAGCACATGCATGCGAGTGCAGTGAACTCCAAGAGGCTCAGTCTGCACCTGGGTGCTGCTGCTGTGGCTGTGGGCTCCTTCTAAGATGTCAGGAGCCAGGACAGGAAGTCCAGGAACAAGGGCAGAGCCAGCAACCAGGTGGTGCTCAGCTTGATGCCATGGGCAGCCTGGCCCCGGGGGACACTGGTGCCACCTCTGACCCTGACACCTGGGGCAGGGCACACAGATGCAGGCGTCCAGGGTTGACCCATTTGCCCAAGTCTGGACACCGTTGGACAAGAATGGTGCCGTGGACAACTGCTCTTCCAGGCCAGGGCCTCCTAGCCTCTGTGCCACCTGACTCAGTTCTCCTACCCTCTGTCCCGTGGGGCAGGGTGCATGCAGCTTAGCCTGCCCTAGCCTCTCAGGCTTAGCAGCCTGCCTGGCCAAGTCCTCCTTGTCACACGCCCTACCCCTTCTGCCTCAGGGCAGGAATATGGCCAGTCCAGAGCCAATCCTGTGCCCAGCACTTTGGTGGCATGTGACATGGGTGGCAGATGGGACCTGGTCAAGATCCAGTGAGCTCTTGGGCCCGAGACATAAGCCAGAAGGTCTGAGAGGTGTGGCCACAGGACCAGGCAGCACCAGCCCCACAGCCCTGTACTCACTGGCTCCCGTAGCGTGTCTTCTTGAACTTGTCCCTGCGGTGCTGCGCATGATCCTTCTCCAGGGCCACCACACTGGTAATAACCTGCTTCAGTGTCTTGTAGGTCTCCTGGGGGTCATCGATGAGAAACGTGGAGTACTCCTCCTGCTCGGGGCCATCGTACACGGACTTGCTGCCACAGGCCTCTGCAGAACAGAATGAGGTCAGTGTGGGTGCCACCACCACCCCTTTCCACTGTCTGTTCAGACCTGGCCCCAGAGCAGTCCCTCCAAGAAAGACTGCCACTCAAACAAGGCAGAGCTAGGGCTGGGGAGCTATGTCCTCATAGCCAGCACGTACAAGGACCCCATGCCCCCAGCCCTTCTCTTGGGATGACCTGCATGTCGCCCGCTCTGCCACAGATAGGAGAAATGACATCCCACCTGGACACGGGGCTGGCTCAAAGGCCCAGGCCACCACACAGGTCAGTCTGGGAGCCCAGTAGGCTGAACATCCATCCTACCAAGGGTGCTGAGCCCAGCATATCTATTGCCCAGCTGCCCTGAGAACCCACAGCACGGTGGCCCAGCTCTGGGGACTGCAGTGCAGATGGCCACCTGCAGCTTCCAAGGACCTCTACTCTCCACTGCTCCACCTTCTCACCTTGCCTGCCTTTCTAAGGGGTCCAACATGCCATGGCCTCTCCGATAGGACCTGTCCAATGTAAAGGCTGTCCACCATTCCCAAACACCGGAGATGCCTTCCCACATGTTCCAAGCCTCTACGCTACCCCACACCTTTCCCAAACTCCTGTGCTGTGTGCACTTCCAGGTTACTGCTCCCAGGGCCTCCCACACCCAGTGCTCTGCATTCTGCCCATCTGCTCCCCAAAATTCACTACTGAAATCTGAATTCCCAGTGTGATGGTGTTCAGAGATGGTGTGGCCGCGAGGGCAGAGCCTGTGTGAGTGGTTCCTTCACAGAAGAGGCAGAAGGGGCTTGGCTTCCCTTTCTATGTGTGAGGACATGGTGAGGGGTCAGAGGTCTGCAGCTGGGAGAACCCCCCACCCAAGATTTGGCAATGCTGACATCCTGACCTCAGTCTTCCTAGCTTCCAGAATTGGGAAAAGTGAATTTCTGCTGCTTAACCACAGCTACTCTGTCCCTGGCACTTTTGTGGCACAGCCAAAACCAACTCAGATGGAGATGGGTGCCAAGACATAGGAAGATGCCATGACTCACAAGCAAGAAAGCAGCTATAAGGGGCCCTGAAGACCTCAGCAGTGGTTTTGTGGAGGCAGTAGTGCGACAGAGAGCCCTAGCACTCCTGGAAAATCCCCAACTCATCTAGAGCAAAGTGCTGCAGGAACATGGCTGGCAAAGAACATTCTATCACAGCCTCAAAAATGAGGAGCAGGGAGTGGGCTTTCCTCCTATGCAGCCAGCTGGATCTAATTCTGGTTCCCTGGAAGGCAGGGCCATGAAACCAGATATTTAGCTGAGGAGTCGCTAGATAGTGCTGAAGGAGCATTGCTGCTTACAGTGAACAGGGAGGAAAGAATGATTGAAGATGGAGTTGTTAAGCAAAAGGAACCAGAATTTAAGATTTGGAAAATCATCAGCCTAGTCCTGTTAAAGAAACAAGAAAGCCTGTCTGAAGGAGAAACAAATGGTGTGTCTAAAATCTGCCCAATAAAAAGATGATGGTGTGGTGTGGACAAGCGACTTCACCAACCATCTGAGAAAGAGCTAGGCACAGAGGAGGGATTATCCCAGGCTGCTGGGAACACACAGCCTTCATCATTCCAAGGCTGTGACTTCAGAGGAAAGGACTTCCGGCCCTGCATGGGAATGCGCCTTGTGGGCTGAGAGTTTGCTAATACAAATGAAGTGTCGCAAAGCAACCATAGCTCTCTAGAAAACACTGAAATTAAAGGCACAGGCTTGAATGCTGTAGAAAGTCCATGCCTGCAGTACGTGGTGCCTGGGCAGAGTGAACTCTGAGATGCCAGCCTTGTCCACATCCAATGAACCCTTGTTGTCAAGATGATTTCTTACTGGTAAGAAGGCGAAGAGTGAGAACTATTTTCATTTGTCTCCTTGCCCATTTCCAACATATCTGTTCAACCATCTGTTAATCCATCTCCACCCACCCATCCATGGTTGGGGCAAGGTATCTGTCTATCCATGCACTCACTCAATCATTTGCTTATTCATCCACCATCACACCCTTATCTGTCCATGCATCATCCACCTGTCCACCCAGCCAACCACCTATCTACCTGTCCATCCACCCAACCCCAGCTATCCACCTAGCCACCCACCTGTCCATCTATCTGTCCGTATGTCCATACATTCATCCACCTACCGACCCATGGCTAAGGAAAGCCATCCATCTACTCACTTACTCACCTGTCTGTTTACCCATCCACCATCCATGCACCAACCATTTATCCATTCACCCCTTTACCCTCACCACTTGTTCTATTCACCCAACCATCTATCTGTTCATCCATCTCCGTCTATCCATCTATCCATCTGTGTATCATCTATCTATCCATCAGCCTGCCCATCCATGCAATGGTCTGTCCATTTGACCATCTATCTAAGCCTCCTCCTATCCATGCATGCATGCATCCATCCACCCATCAAATAGGCACTGGCACTTTCTTTGTTCCGGGCCCTGGAGTGAACAGGACCTTTTGACTGCTCTCAGAAAGTCACAACATCTCAAAAGTGAATAGATGAAAGACAGCTGTACTTACAGGGAAAGAGATGAGCCCAGGCTATTGGGATAGGGAAGCAGATGTTAGCAAGGTGAGGAGAGTGAGGAGGGCATCCTAGGCAGAGGGAGGAGTGAAGGCCACAGCACAAGGCACACAGCGCTGTTGTTCAGGGTGGCCCTAGGCATGGCATGGCCCATATAGCCTTCCAAGGTGGCCTCAACCTCCCTAAGACCCCTGGATCACATCCTCTTCTGCTATCACAGGTTGCCCCCATCCTGGCTGCATTGAATTTGTACCCACAGGTCTTACATAGAACTCCAGGCTGTGGCTCTATGGCATTTGGCACCTTGGAGACAGGTGCTGTGTGGGGCATGATTTGCATGCACATGGGCACATGCACTCACGAACCATGTGAAGAGCACACAAGGAACTTCTGGCTGCTGTCCCAGTACAGGCACATGCCTGAACCTGTGCAAGTTCCTGGCCAGTAAGATCTGAGCCCAGGCAGGGCCTGGAGACCAGGCAGCAGCACAGCATCCAGACAGGGTGCATGCACTCCCATCTAAGGCACATGAGAGGCTTCAGGGTTAGGTCAGGAGATAGGAAGGAAGGTATTTTAGGCAGTGTCTCCAGAGCCCATCCAGCCCATCCTATCCTGTCATCTGTAATCGTGGACCTGAGCTCTCCCTGACTAGATGTGGAGACAGGTGCAGTCCCTCACCTCTTGGGGGTTGTGTCTGCCCCTCCTGAGTCACAGACCTTGAATCTATGACTTGGCAACTGTATTTAAAACTCTATAAAGCAACTAAATGTGGCAGATGACAAAGTCTCACAGACATGTGAAACATGCAGCACATTTGGAACTGCTGTGCATGAGTCACATGCTTTCATACGTGTCCAGGCACACACACACTTACACACAAGTACTCATACATGTACTCGCATTTTCACACACATGTCCCCACCTATGCACACCCACACACATGTATTCATACACACATCCACCACATGTGTACACAGGTGCACACCCACACACACACATCTCTCTAGAAAACACAAAAGAATAAAATACTGTTGGAGGGGGTGGGGGAATGGGGAAAAAATACAATTAGAGTATGGAAAGTGAATAAGAAATAGAGTCCTCAAAAGAATTTGGCAGTCCAGAGGTTGCACATTAAATGCTGTCTAAAAATCACTGACACAACCTGCTACCACACCGACTCTTCCCCAGACGCTGCATGGCCCTCCCGCTATGCTGCACCAAGACTGCAGCTGCCTGAGGCTCTGCATCCCCTCTGCTCAGGGCTGTGTGCCCGGAACTGCGCCCACACTGTGCAGCCGCAGCACTCACCCTGCATCTTCTCCAGCTTGCCCATGTAGGAGCTGAACAGTGAGTAGATGCGCTCTGTCTCACGGTCCCCATCGATGTCCAGCTGGATGTTTGCCGGGAGGCCACTGCCAACCAACAGAAAGAACAAAGCACAAAAATGCTTACCTAATGGTGCTCATCATCATAGCACTTTCTAAAGATTATCGAAGAAAGAAATTGCAGCAACCCACATGAAACCTAACCCTGGCCCGGGGGGCACAGCAGTGGTGGGCTGGTTCTGGGTATGGGTAGGATGTGAGGAAGGACTGCCCAGCCCCGGGGCTGGTCCTCTTGGACCTACAGTGCAAGGTGCTGAGGAAAGTGGAGTGATCTGTAATGGGCTCTGAGGGCAGTTGCTCTGCCCTGGAGGACAGGGGCTCCTGAGGCCCTCTGGGAAAGACAGGGCACAGGGGACTTGTTCCAAGGTCAGATTCTGCTTGCTCAAGCCAGACACAATGGCCTCAGGCCAGCACAATAGGGGACTCAATGACAGAACACGAAGTCCCAGTGACACTAACACACACACACATCCTTCCAGGCATTGACACACAAAGCTGTCATTGCTCCTGCTGGCATGCACGAGTCACACTGAGCCTCAGAGGGAAAGGCCAGCCCCAGGCTGGCAGAGGTACAGAGACTCCCATGATTGGCAGGAGGCCAGGCTGATACGGATGGGCATCACTGCTCCTCTCTTTCCAGGATGGAGACGAGCGGGGAAAGAGGCTCAGAAGAAGGTCACCTCCTCAAAGCCTCGGGGCACTGGCAGGGCAACCCCAGCTCTCCAGGGTGGGCTCCTCAGAGAGGACAAGGATCACCCTGACTGTCCGGCTCCTGAGGGGTCTGGGCCCTGGCCGACTTCCTTGCACAGTGCCCATGCTGGACGAATGCCTGGCTGAGTGGGTTCAGGAGGCGCAGGCCTACCCGGTGCAGGGGGAGCAGCCAGTGGCCGTGTCCGAGGATGCTCTGCAGCACAGCCAGTGGCCATTCAGATAGGCAGATGGGTGGTACACAGACAGGCGCTGCTGGTTGCGCTGGCTGACCTTGGTGAGGACATCAATCCAGTCCCTCGCCTCCACACAGTTGTTGGCCTGGATGTACAGTGCACGCTCTGGCTGGATGACCTGGAACATCTGTAGATGGCAAGGAGCTCAGGGGCAAGAGAGCCTCGGGCTGGGCTACATCGCCACCTCCACGGGGACGCTGAGGCTGGACAGGTCGTGAGGCCACCATACTGGCCTTCAAGGGGGTTGGGAGGTGAGAAAGGCCTGCCCCCTTGGACCAGGTGTATTAGTGGGCTGTGTCCTGAACGGGCTGGGCTATCTGTACCCTTGGACATGGGGTGCTGTAGCTGCAGGAGGCCAGAGCTCAGGAGGCCCGTCCAGGTCGCCCTGGTTGGGCAATCCTATCCTGTAGCCTCAGGGGCCTCTATCAGCAGATGAGCATCTGGTGGGCCCCAGGCAGGCCTGTATCAGGTGGGCTTGTTTCTTGGAGTTCCAAACTCATCCAGCCCCAACTCCTGTCCACCCTGCACCGAAACTTCAGGGTGCCTGCTGCTTTCACTCCAACCCCCAGGCTCCTCCTCCTCCTCCTCACACCAGATGCTAATTCCTCCTGAGGCTTCTCCACTGCCTTTGCCGCTTATTTTTCATTTAGTAAACATTCCTAGGTACCTCCTGTTATCCTAGGGACATATTGCCACAGAACAACCAGTGTGGATACAGAGTTCAGGGGCTGAGTGGGAGAAAGACCTGACAGGATCAGTCTTCCAGCTGAGGTCACTAAGGATGAGCTCCTCAGGCAGAATGTGGGGAGTGGGTAGGGATGCCCCAGGAAGAGGAGACAATGGGCACAAAGGTCTGGGGCAGCAGGGACAGCAAGAACGGAGCTCCTAGATGTGCAGGTCAGGTGACCTCACAGGAGTATGGGCTAGGAAGGCAAGCAGATCAGAGCCCCAGGGCTGCCCCCAGGGTATTGGGGAGACTGGAAATCAGAGCTTCTTTGGTAGCCTCTCCAAGTGTAGAGGGATGTGGGGAGTCCTGACTCCACGTTCTTGCTCCTTAGAGCCCAGGAGCACCACCTCACATACTATGCACCTCACGTGTACCTCAGCCTCCAGAGTGTGCTCATGGCTGTCATTTCCAGGGACAGCATCTGGATCACTGTCCCAGGATGGGCTCTCACAGGGCTGTCTGCTCAGAAGCCAAACTAAGTGACAGCCACAACCCTCCCCTGATCAGGACAAAAAACAGCCCAAACCAAGGCCATGAGCCTCGGTAGCAGAAAGTCCTTAGACCAAGGGGATGACAGAAATGGAGCCTGGCTCTGGCCTGGGAGGAGCATGAACCCTGGGCAACTGCCACATGTGAAGACCATGGGCTCATGCCAACACAGCACCAGCAATAGTTCAGAAAGGACATGGACACTGCACATAGAGAAAGGAGGAGAGAGGTGGCCAGCAAATGGCACAGAACTGAAGTTGGGAAGGGTTCGCGAGGTCCCTATTCTATGCTTTGAGGCTTCTCTAAGTTCAAAATTCTATGAAAGGAAAAAGTCTTAAAAAAAAAAAAATCCCAGAGCTTGCTTCTGGTGTCTTTTAAGGAATCCTTCCTCCTAAAAAGTTGATTTTCTCAGGTATTTTGTCACAGTGACAGAAAGCTTGTAGCAGACATCCTTGCCCAGAACTAGTGGGCTATAAGTGGCACATGCTTCTAACTTTCCTTAATTCAGCTATATTGTTTTATATGAGTCAGATGGAAACCCTATGTGACTCAAATGGGTGTGTCAGATGGCTCCTCCTCCAATGGCTGCAACTGAAATTTAAGACCTGGTCTGTGAAGTGGCAGAGCTCTGCTGAGTTAATGTCCAGCTGAGTTCAGCTTGGCCCAAATCCTTTCCCCTGAACTATGGCTCCTCAATGACCTGAGTTATAGGTGCTGGTTAATTGCAACCCAGTCCCAGTACCCACTTGTTCTAAGAAAGATAAGAAGTACCTCTCTTTTACAGTACTACTTGCATATCTGCTATCACCAGCTGTCCTCCCCTACTCCCTGCTTGTTATGAATAAACAGTGAATATCCTTGGTGCCTTTTTTCTTTGCTGTCCAAAGTAGCTTGGATCCACCCAAGACCCAGCTTCTGCTCTCAACTCTGTGTCTGTGTCTTTGTTTTCTCTTTCTCAGCTTGCATTATATTGTCTCACAGAAGATCAGGTCTCACTACAGGGGTATCAATAGTGTCTTCTGTAAAAGCTAACACAGAACACTGGTACCTAGAGAGGGGTTGTTGCTGTGACTGTATCTAATCGTGTAGTTTAGAAGCTGCTGGAAGTGGTTTGCTGAGAAGTTTGGGGAGGTTTGAAGAAGAGCACTAGGGAACCCTACAAGGGGAGCCTGATGGTATTTCTGAAGTGAAGAACAGAGGCTGACAGGAGTTCAACAGTGGACTGGGCTCATGAGGTTTCAGACAGGGATATTCTGTGGGAAACTGGACTAGAAGCCATTCCTGCTACCTTCCAGCAAAGAACTTGCCTACATTTTGTCCAGGCAGTGAGCCTACCTGTGGGTCTGGATTTAAAGCTGATGGTCCAGTTCAGGGTGGTGAACTTATGGCACTTGTGCCACAGCGGGCTGTTTGCTGTCACTGGAAGCTCTAAAGGGGTCACCATCACTGGTTAAATCAAAGCAGCATAACTAACACTCAGGCAGTGGCATGGTATTGCTGCTTGCTTTGATCAGATTTACAGTGAGGATTGGGAGCAAAAAGCAGAGAAGAATGATTTGAGAAACTTGCAGTTTGGCCAGAAAAGAAGCTCATGTAAAGTTCCAGCTAAGGAGGGTACAGATGTGAAAGAGATTAGCACCATGAACACACTGAAAAGAAGGCAAGTCCTTGGCACTAGGACAACAGAAAAGATGCCTTAATGGCATCTCAGAAATCAGCAAGACCCCACCTACTGCAAGTTCAAAGACGTTTGAGAAGACAGCACTGCGTTCCTGGGGAATTGTTTAACCAGGAATTGTTTCACTGCTACTCTTTTCCCCACGTTTAGTCACTCAAGTATTTGGAGGCTGCTGCAGCTGTGGTCCAAGACGACCCCGCCACTGCTTGGACTGGTGACAGGCCTCAATTCTGTCCACAGAATGCTTGTTTCCAAGGCATGCAGAACACAAACACTGTGAGGTGGTAGGATGTCCTGAGATTTTAGGGGAGAGCTTGGGAAGCCTGGCAACATGCGGCAGGGTCAGAAGCCCTGCAGAGAAACCCTGAGAGTTCGATGCACAAAGCTCTGTGTGTGGTGGGGGGGATGGGGCTGCAATGGAGTCAGCAGGGAGCTGCAGATATCAGGAATTCAGAATGCAGGCTGAAGAAAGCTACAGGTGGTGAGTAAAGGGAGTCAGCCCCAGACAGCGGCCATGAGGGCTGTGGCCAGCAAGGACACAGCAACAGGGCACCAAGCTCACATCTCACCAGAGGGTCTGGCCACTGGACATGTAGCTACAGGACCAAATGTTTGTCCTACTGGGTTCTAGTCTTGCTTTGTTGTGATCCCTTCTTGCTATTTCCTTTCCTCCCTTTTGAAATGGGAATGTTTATCTGGGAAGTATATGACTTTCTTCTTTCATGTTTAGAGTTTGGGGTTTGCCTTGAGTCCTAGAGGAGACTTTAGACTTGGACTTCTGGGCAGTGCAGAAATGCTGAGACTTTGGGTACCATTTGAAATGGAACCTGAGTTGTAACATAGACACAACTGTTTGGGGGCCTGGGCAAGCTATGATCTGGATCCTAATGGTTCCCCTGGGCCCATGCGTCATGGCTGACAGTGTCAGGTGTGAACCCTTTAGGCAGGGGTTGAGGCGGGGAGTCAGGTCACTAGGGATGTGCCCTTGAGGGGACGCTGGGACCTCGGCCTCTTTCTGTCTTTTTTTTTCGCTCCCTGCTGTCATGAGATGAGTGAGTTTGCTCCATCTGCCCCCATGAGGTGCTGCCTCATTCAGCCCAACCAGATGGGGCCAAGAACCATGGATGAGAGCCTCTGAAACCAGGAGCAAAATAACCCTTTCTTCCTCATACACTGATAGCCTCAGGTACTTCATTACAGTGATGAAACACTGGCTGGCACAGGAGGTCTTTGACCCCCAGGAATCTGCAAGAGAGCCCTCTTGAACCCCAGCCCAGTCTTCTGGCAGGTAAGGTGCCCAGCCATGGGGAAGGGGACCCTTCCCGATGACAACAGTGGGTGCTGGAGGAGGAGGGGCCAGGCAGACTGGCACTCACATTTTTCATCCTGAAGGATTCCTCCTCCAGCCTCTCCACAGCCAGGATGTTCTCGATGGGAATGCAGCAGAGGGGCTGGTCTCCTGTATACAGAGAGGGCCCTCAGTGTTCTGCTCAGCTCCCTGAGCAGCTGGATGTTTGTTGGAGCCCCTCTCCTAGCCATGAAGGGAGGCCAAGTGGCTCAAAAGGCCTCAGGCTTGAGAGAGGAGGCCCGGGTGCCGGAGCACAGGGCCACACACTCAGCCCTGGTGTCTGAGGCAGGAAGCAGACCTGTCCTCAACCCATGGTGAGCTCAGGAAGGTGGCCTGCACTGCATGTGGGGAAGTCACTACTCAGTAGGGAAAGCAGTCCAACATGCCATTGGCTCCATCCACTGCCCCACGACTGGCCTCAGGCTCTCTGTGGCCAGCTACCATGGAGAGATGGCCATGCTAACTCAGGCAAGCAGCCCTCAGACTGTGTGGAGTCCCAGGGAGAGCAAGATAGTGCCTTGCTCCGAGCAGCTCTGCCTCCCAGTGCTGGTATTACATCCTAACCTCATGGAGAAGCAACAGGATAGAGGGGCACTCCCTCTAGGACCACGGGATGGGTGGCTGAGGAGGCCTTCCCATAGCTGGTCTGCACTCAGATCCATGGGGAAGCCTATGTCCTTCAGACTCTGCAGAGTGCTGTGCACCTGGGGCCACACTGCCCCATACCCTGCCTCCCCAGGAGCAGAGTCCACCTGACCAGGCCCGCTACGAAGACACACAGGACTCAGGGAGACCCTCACAGTCACCTTTGCTCTTCTGATAGGTGAATTCATGGTTGGTCAGGCGAAACCACCTCTTCTTGAAATTCTTCATCCCAAATCGTTTCCTTCCTTGTGCCCTCTTAATCATGAACCTGTGGGAAGGGCACAGAGCTGCCAGGGCATCCTGGGGCTCGAGGTAGAGTCCCTCATGCCAGCTTTGAGATGTGCAGCTTTGCTGCCTGGACAGCAGCCCCATGCCCACCTTCCAGCTCAGCAGCCCCACCTTACCCTTCTTTCAGCAGGATGGGCTGCTCTATGCTCCTGGGGTCCCTTCTCCCCGAGGATGAAATCAAATCCAAGAACTAAAGTTGGGAGGAAACCAGACCACGAGTCAAGCTCTGAAGGCCACTTGCTCTGACAGTAGAGCAGGACGTGTGTCCCCCGAGGGGCCTGCATCTGTCTCCCGGGATCAGCTCACCTCAGCCGGACCCTGCTGGGTCTCTTGTACCTGCTGGACCCTGCAGAGAGGCTGCCAGCAATGAGCCAGTCCCAGGGAGCTACCTGCCTGCTCCAGGTGGCCCGGGAAAGCCCCAGCAGCGGGGCAGGACTGGCTGGAGAAGGAGGCGGGACCACCAGGAGCCACCACTCCTGGCCCCACTCTCTACCACCAGTGACTTGCACTGTGAGAGCCAACCCTTCTTCCAGTCACCGCAGAGGACTACCCTGGATCCTGAGAGCAGAAGAAGAGCAGAACTGCAAGCCTGGAAGCCTCTCTCCCCAGACACAGCACCCCCAACACAGCAGGAGGAGAAAGACCAGACAGTTGGTGCAGGGCTGATGCCTAAGACACCCACTGAAAGCTGAAAAGGTCCTCATGACCCATGATCTTGCCTGGACTCGAGCCAGGTCCGGGCATGCAGGGTGATGTCTGCTGACACAACATACTCACATTCTTCACGGCATCAGCATACTTCTGCTCATTGAAGAACTCATAGAATGTTGCCATGTATGACTCCTTGAAACTGGCCTATAATGAGATAGTCACCCGGTGACTGGGAGATTTTGGCTCATAGCCCAGACCTGAACACTCCCTTGGTCTGGGCTTCAATAAGCCCACATCATCAGATGGAGACCCCAGAGGTTTCAGCCTGAGCCCAACACATAAAGCAGTCTTGAAGACACAGGACAGGGTATCTGTGTCACAGCCCCTGGTACCGAGGACCCAGCACACGTCTGGACCCATAGTGACATCCAGGCTCTGAAGCCTCTGCCCATGTACTTCCTGAGGCCCAAGGGCAGCTGGGAGAGGGGGAAGGGGTGAAGGGGGCTCCACCTCCCATATGCCATGGTGCACTCAGGGGCTCATTGAAGACCTTGGAGCCAACCATTCCTGTGAGTGCTACAGGGAGCCCTGTGTGGGCTCAGACAGGTACCAAGGAGGGCCCTGTGCAGACCTTGTCTGGTAAAGCCACGAGTCTCCAGGACCAGGTGGACTGTGGGACTTGGCCTGCCTAAGCCCTCACCTGGCTGTTCTCACAATGACCAGAGGAACCTGCTTATCTGTGGCCAGTTCCTGGCTCCCCTATCCCAGGTGCCAGAGAGCAGAGGAGGTGGGCACTGCCTTGTGGGTACCTGCCCACATGTCCTAGCATCTTCCTGAAGGGTGACAGGAAGCCTTGGCCTGCCCTGGACAGTCAGGGTACAGGGCCAGCCTTGGGCTCCACCCAGGAGACCCACTACCCACACTGGCCAATGGTCAGGTCACCAGGCCTGTTCTTGGCCCCTGGGAGTGGAAGGCCCCAACTGACCCTCAAAGGATCCCTGGCCCTCCAGCACCACCACCTGCACTTGGTCTGGGTAGGTGACAATAGAGGGGAGATGCAGAGTTGTCACCCAAGGTGTGGGAGGGTTCAGCCTCACCTGCCCAGGAAGTAGAAGCTGGATGGGGAAGAACCTGCCAGCTGCCAGCCAGCCCCAGGTCCACACTCAAAGTATGGCCCTCCTGGGCTGCTGCAGCTAGTGTGTAGCAAAGTCACTTAAACACCAAGGAGGCTTATCCGCCCCTCAAGGCCACCGAGAGAAGTAGGAGCGACCAGCATGCCCACCATGGGGAGCACCACGCCTGTGTCCTCCAGAGCCAGTGTCTGCCTTCCATGGATGAGCACTGTCTCTGTCCCTGTGCCCTCCAGAGGGCGAGTAGGTGCTTGGATGCTCTGCTTCTCAAGCTCCAAGCAGGGTGGCGTCCTGGTTTTCATTACTCTCTTTATTCATACAACTACACTGAAATACAACCTTTCCTTCGTCAAAGGCACTATATTTAGTTTCTGAAGAGGTAAACAAAAATCAGCGTTCCTAAATGTATGGAGCATTTCTACATAAATTTTGGGAAAATCATTTCCAAATTAAAGGTATGACTATAGCCATCTAAGGCCCAATGTTGCCTTGCCCGAGAGCTGGCTATGGCACGTGGAAACATAACTCCATTTTGCCTCTGATCACAGCGGAGGCCTCAATGGTCTGTGATGCTGTGGTGTTCAAAGGTAAGATAACATCAGCTAAAGACATCTTGGCTCCTTGAGAACCCAGTAGGTTCACCTGGGGAGGGAGCATTACTTATCAGCTCAACTCATCCCACCTATTGTGCGAGACTTCCATTTCTGCCCTCAGCAGCATGAGATTTGCATGACAGATCAGACAGATCACTGCTGCCCCCTTAGTCACCTAAGTCACCTGATACTACCTCTGATTATTGTGCACCCAGTAAATACTGGCTAGTATAGAGAGTCTTAGTCTTTGCCCACTCTGGGGCACCGATGTCATGGGCCCCCCGCCATATACTTTGAAAGTACACAAGTCTCTATTGTCTTTTTTTCTTTAGCCTTGGCCGTCCTCCTTTCTAGGCAGTCAGAGGATATTGGGCTCCCATACCCAAAAAGAGAACGTGATGACCACAGACTTACAGACTTGGACTTGGACAAGCTTCCCAGAGTCTGGATAGTCTTAGAGATGAGCGTCAGGGTTCTGGATGTCTGTGGGTCCTGCCAGGGATGGAAAGGGAAATGCAGGCTTTGTTCCAGCTATAGAAATGCACAGTCAGTCCCAGAGGTACAGAGGCCAAAATAAGTGAGGCATCTAGAAGCTGCCACAGCACATGCATGTGCTCCACAAGCAACCTTGACCTGGAAGGTCCCAGTCTTGGGCTGGGTCTCACCCGGCTGTGAGCCAGCATTTCAGGGAGTCTCAGGGTTCCCTGCACCAAGAGCTTGACCTCTCACCTAAGATACAAAGGGGAATCTTAAAGCTGGAAGCACCCATGGGGTTTTCAGTCTTCCCTGCTGGGGACATTTCTCTGCTGTCCCCACAGATCACCCATTTTCATGGCTCTTTGCCCTCGGCTTTCCCCTCCCACCTGTCTCCCCTTCATGTCACATCACCTCATCTGTGACGTGGCCTGTCACCAGCAGAATGGCAGCCCTGTGAAGATGCCCAGACCTGGATGGAGTCTGACACATGGAAGGGGCTCAGGGACTGACAGATGAATGTGTGTGGGTCACAGGAGTACTGTGTCTTCATGGTAGGAAGGAGGGTACAGTAATAGTGACCAGACACCATGGTCCTGGTCACACTGTAGAACTATTATTTAAGAACAGCACTGATCCATCCAGTAGCAAGTGGTTGTTAGAGCTGAGAGGCTGCTAAACCACCCACAGGAGGCTTGAGATGGCCAGAGGTTCACATCCACCTTTCTTCACCTGCCACTGGCTCTGTAGAGACCTGGCTAGGGCCAGCTTGCTGGCAGGTTAAAGTGGGCTGACTAGTAAGGACTCACTGGTTTACAGGCTTGGCTGTTACGGACTGACAAGTTTATCAGGGCTAATTGGTTTAGTAAGACTGACTAGTTTACAAGGACTGGCTAGTTGAAGACTGCCTCAATTATAAGACCAGTTGGTTCGAAGAATGGTGTGGTGTAGGATCGGCTGGTTCATAGGACTGGCTGGTGCAGGACCATCGGGTATGGGGCTCTCCACTTACTGTGTGGTGCAGTGTCAGCTGGAAGAGGTTGGGGGATAGGATGGCGGGCGCGAAGAACCGCAGGAAGATGAAGCTGCTCACTGCCGTATACCTGACATCCAGGTCATCTGCAAGCAGAGGACAGAGCTTGCACTAGGGATGCAGCACAGCTACTGGGGGCTCTGCAACTTCACCCAGTTGCTGGGGCCCCATGCAGAAACCAGATACCAGCTGTTTCTGTCTCCATTTCTCTCCATCTGTCTCTCTATCTGTTTCGGTATCATCTATCTAGCTGTCTTATGTACTTAGCCCTGTATCTGCCTCTGTGTCTCCGCCTTTTCTCTCTCTAGAATTGTCTAGCTATCTCTCTGTGTCTGTCTCTGTATCTCTCTCTATATATTTGCCTCTATTGTCACTGTTGTCACCATGGGGTGCCCTGTGCAGGGGAATCACAGACATAGCCTCACCTTCAGGCCCTCCTATTGGATGGTTGGCTCTCATCTGAGCTAAGAGGGCAATTTTAGTACTTGTTTTCCTCTTTTTGTTTTTTGTTCCACACATGCGGGGATCATCTGCCTCCCAGGAAGGGGGTTCTGGGTGCTCTCCTTTCCCAGTGCTCAGAGCTCCGGGCAGGGTGAGGGATGGTTCCCAAGGGCCTCCTCTTCTTGATGAGGTGGCCCTGAGATGGCTGCTGGGGATGTGCGGAGGGGTGCTATCAGAAGCACCCGTTCCTAGAATGGGGGTGCTGTGGGAACCTGCTGGGGAGGGCCGGGTGGGGCCAGAGTGGCTAGGCACGGGGGTGCTTACCCTGGAAGCGCTTGGCAGCTGCCTCCCGCAACGAGAAGAAGATGTCACACATGACAGTGGGGCAGCTGACCCCAGACTTGGTGATGACGGTGAAGATACGGTCCACATACTGCCGCAGGTTCTCCTGGGATGGGACAGGCATTGGGACCTGACTTCCCTGGGGTGAGGAGTGCCAGGGCTTGCCAAGAGGGCCAGGCTGAGAGCAGACACTCCCAAAGATGGACCTCACGACAGTGAAGGAACCCTCCCTTGAAGAAGTACTACCAGGGCTGGGAAACCCTGCGGTCCTTTCCTCCTGGCAGACATCACTGAGAATGGACCAAGAGCTACCAGAACGTGCCTTGAGGCAGAGCTCTGTGCTTCTGCCAAAAGGTGTGAACAGTATACCTGACCTGCAGGATGTAGTTGGGGGACACGAGCAACCACGGGCATGCTGGCCTCAGAGTTTGCCGTCCTGGAAAACGGCACACCCCCTGCATCTCACTTGCTTTGGGGAAGGAACAGAGCTCACAACTCAACCTGGCCCTCATGGGGAGCGCTGGTGGGAGGGAGTACATAGCCAGGCTCGGGGCCAGGCTGGACAGGGCTCCCTCGAAGCTGTCCCCACCCCTGGGACTCCAGGCTGGAGCACAGTGGGAGCCTCACCATGTTGTTCTCCAGGCTCTCACCGTCCTTTAACTTCACAGGATCAATCTCACAGGGCCGGTGGCTCTGGCATACCTAGGAGGGCACGTAAGGTTTGCACGTTTTGCACGTTGGCCACTGGTCAAACACTGGTCCCCACATCACAGGCTGCTGGGAAGGCGGAGCTTCAGAAGGCACAGCCTTTCTCACAGCGGGCAGGACTTTTCGCAGAGACCCACCCGCCTGGGTAAGGTGTGGCCAAGCTTCACAAAGCCTTAAGAACAGGCAAATGCTCTACCACTCAGCTATATCCCTGGCCCTTTTTGTCTAATTTATTTTCTATTTTGAGTCAGAGTTTTGCTATTTGCCCAGCCTGGTCTCAAACTTGGAATTCTCCTCCATGCCCAGAAAGCTTTTATGATATTTTTACTACAGAGTTTCCCACAGATCAAATCAGGATGCCATTTTAAATGTGCAAAGAGCCTGTTTGTCACAAAACTATTCTGGGGACATGGCTTGACAAGGTGCCAAAGAGGGTCTGGTGAGGGTTGCCACGTTTTTTGGGAAGGAATTGTGCGGCCGGGATGCAGCACACAGCCAGTGCCTTGGACAGGACAGCCACAGCACGCAGACATACAGAGACCCACGGTTACGGGAGAGTTCTCTGGAATGATCTGGACCTTCCTCTTCAGCAGCATGACAAGTTGTCTTATTTTTTAATTTGAGGAAGTAGGGCAGATTCAGGAACACGCATGGCACCTTCTCTCCATGACAGCCAATCACACAAGGGCTCTGGGCAGCAGGGCAGTCATGTGCCACACTCCCTGTCTCTCACAGAGACAGACACTAGTGGCCAGGACACATGATGGCGCTCACCTCCTCGATGGCGGGCTTCAAGGTAACCTGCAGGTAGTGCATGCCTGCCAGCTTCATCGTCTCATCAATGCACTTGGAGGCCAGTGAGTTTCCTCGGAAGATGGTGTTGGGGTCCCTGGAAAACAGGCCAGCAGGTTGCTGTCTCCTCCAGGCCCACGAGGGAAGAGTGTATCCCTGAGTGTCTGGTCATGGCACCTAGTGCCCACACAGGTCCTTGCAGGCCACACAGTGAGCCTGGGTCAGCCCAGCATGGCCACCATCTCTGTGAAGGGGGCTTTGCAGTCAAGGCTGCTCTGCACCAAAGCCCAGGCAGTTGCAAGGCCAGACAGGAAAGTGGCACTAGCCAGCCGCCTTGCTACTTGCCTCTGGGTCACACTGCCCACACTTGGGCAGCCTTGTGTCCCGGGTTGGTAGTGCCCCATCTTGGGCCCTTTACTCTGCTAGGCACCCGGGCTCCCCAGCGCATATCCCTGGGGCCACTGGAAATTCAGTGATTAGAAAAGCACCAGCTAGTCTTTCTGGTGGGACCTGAAGGTCATCCATTTCTCCCACACACCCTGCTGGGAGGTGCCTTTGGATTCCGACCTCTAGGGTCTGGGCCACCAGTCTCCTGGGCCCAGCCCCACTGAAGGCTGGAGAGAGGTGGACAGAGGTGGGGCTCAGTGGGGCTGGGGACAGACTGGCACTCACTGGGTCCTCTTCACTTCGGCGCTGGCGATGGCGCTGATGAAGGGCACCACCCGGCCGTAGTGCAGCAGGAGCCGCACTAGGGGCACAGCCGCCTCCTGCTTCTCTCTGCACACCTCGCCCAGGATGTGGGCGGCCGACGCGGAGACGGGCTGGCAGGGGGCGGGTGGGGTCAGGGTGAGCAGCTACCCCTGCACACTCCAGGCCCCTCCACCCCAGGTCGGTGGGCCCACACATGCAGGTGCTGCCGGGCTGCAGGGCATAGGCGCTTGCCACCACCCCCAACCAGCAGCATGGGGTCCCTGAGCAGACTAGACCTGGTCCTAGCCAGCCATATGTCAGCAAATCTGAGCAGCAGCAAGGGGTTACGGGAGGAGAAAGGTCAGGAAAGGCTGTGGGATGTCACCAGTGTCACCAACCAGTAGGAGGCAGCCCAGCAGCGAGGGAGCATGAAAGGGTGGGCCTGGGCGGGGCCAGGTGAGTAAGCAGGGGCAATGGTGGGCCTGGAGAGTGGACGGGACCAGTGGACTGGACAAGGTCAGGCAAGTGGGCAAGGGGAAGGCAAGAGTTGGTGGGTGGGAGGAGCCGT